CTTTATTTCTTGTTTTCTTTTTATTCTCTGCTTTTTGCTTATGTTTACTTTTTACCTGCCTTCCTGTGGGTTACTTAAAATTTTTTAATTCTATTTTGATTTATCTATAATGTTTTTTGAGTGAATCTCTTTGTATAGCTTTTTTGGTCATTGCTCCAGATAGTTCATTATATATACATAACTTATTACAGTCTACTGGAATTGTTATTTTCCAATTAGAGTGAACTACAGAAACCATATTCCCTTTATATTTATTTACCTTACCCTATTTATAATTGTCTTAAATATTTCCTCTACATACCTTTAAAATCACATCAAACAGCATTATAATTTTAGCATCAACCATCAAATACATTTGAAAAGCTCAGGAGGAGAAGGAATGTCTATTGTATTTAGCCATAGTTTTTGCTTATTATATTCTTTCTTTCTTCCTGGTGTTTGTTCCAAGTCCTTTCTTCTAATCATTCCTTTCTGTTTAGAGAACTTCCTTTAGTCATCCTTTTAGGGTAAGACTGCAAGTGACAAATTCTCTTAGCTTTCCTTCATCTGAGAATGCCTTGATTTTCCCTACTTTCTTGAAGGATAATTTCCCTAGATACAGAATTTTGGGTGGACAGTTCTTTTCTTTCAACATTTGAAAATGCTGTGCCAATCCTTCTGGCCTCCACGGTTTCCAATGAGAGATCCTGTCATTCAAGTTGCTTTTCCCTATACGTAACATATTGTTTCTCTCTCATTGCTTTCAAAGACTTTTTCTTTTTCTTTAGTTTTCAAAAGTTTGACTATTACTTGTTTTGGTGTGGATTCCTTTGGGTTTCTTTGGTTTGGGCTTTTGTCGTTTTCCAGGACTTTGATGGCATGAAGGTTAGATCTTCTGTTAGAGTCCCACAAATCCCTGAGGCTCTATTTTTTTTTTCCCCAGTCTATTGTCTCTCTGTTGTTCAGATTGAGAAAACTGTATTGTTCCATCCTTGTGTTCACTGATTCTTTCCACTGTCTCCCCTCCATTCAGTTTTTGAGCCATCCATTGAGTTTTATTTCAATTACTGTATTTTTTAGTTCTAAAATTTTTCTTTGGTTCTCTTTATATGTTCTGTTTCTTTACTGAGACTTTCTATTTCTCTGCTAAGACTTTCTCTCTTTCTCATTGTTCCAAGTGTGCTCATTATTATTGCTCATTGGGGCTTTTTTTTTTTTTTCTTTGACAGATAATTCTAATGTCTCAGTCATCTCAATATTGGTATTCATTGTCTTTTTTTCTTCCAGGTCTAAATGTTCTCAGTTCTTAGTATGACAAGTGATTTTCTATTGAAACCTGGACATTTGGGGTATTATGAGAGTCTGGATCTTATTTAAACATTCCTCTGAAACTGCTCTGGTAGGGGTAGTAGGAGGAGGGCCAAGGCTGCCTCATTACTGCCAGGTAGAGATAGTGGTCCAAATTCCCAGCTTGGTCTCCACTGGCACCAGAGGTAAGGGGCTCCCTGCTATTGCTGGGCGGGAGTAGGAGTTCTGGTCCCCACTAGGCCTCTACTGATACCATCCTGGTGGGGAGGGACAGAAGTCTCTCATTACCGTTCCCTACAAGGCGTTCAGTGACACTATGGGGGCAGGAGGGGTTGGTAGGGTAGCCTCTTTACTGCCAGGCAGTGTTGAAAGTCTTGACTCTCCACTAACACCACATCATTAGGGAAGGAGTTGGGGTACCTTGTTTCAGCCTGGTAAGACTGGAAGTTTAGGCTCCCCCCGCTCAGCCCTGGCTGGCAGGGGTGGGGATAGGGCCACAGGTTTTTCTGTGGTGTTTGACTAAAGTAGCATAGTTATAGTCTAAAAGTTTCATCTTGCTAGACTGCCCCTTTCTTGATCCTTAGCTAAAGAGAGTAGGCTTTTGCTGGGGCTTTTTCTGTCTGCACCCATTGGCATTCTTAGGTTGCCAGCTTCTTTAGCTCCAAATCTGGCAGACATGAGACCAAAAGAAAACCTGAGAACTCATCAGGTTACGTGATTCTTTGGATCCCAAAGTCCCTAGCCAGTCTGCTTCTCTCCACCTTTTGGAGTCTTCTCACGTTTGTTTTATAAATAACATCTAAGGTTTGTACTTAGTTGTACTTAGCAGGAAGAAGAGGGAAAAGTACATCTATTTCATCTTCCCTAAAGTTAAAGGCAGGCATAAGTTTTATGATAAAACATTTGCTTGTGAGCTATACATTATTTGTCTAAAGAAGACCTTGGGACATGAATTCCCTCTTACCTGGGTCATGTTAAGCCATTTTTCTTTTGAGCTATATGGCCAAAAACAACTACACATGACAGAAGCCAGGATGGGCTGATTCCTTCATCCTCAATTAATATCTGGAAGGTAGTCTCTGAACTTCAGTCTCATATAATTAGAATGTATTTTGTGAGTGATAGTATTGAACTCCTCAGTAAAACAAACATAGGACCTTATAACACTTCTATCCCTCCTGCCATAGTGTATGCATACTGTTTAAGACAGTAGTTCCTAACTAAATGGGAGGTTAAAAGGGGAGCGATTTTGCCCTTCTCCCCAGGGTCTCATTCAGCAACATCTAGAGATATTCCAATTGTTATGACTTGGTGGTGGGGAGGGTGACGAGAGGATCATACTACTGGCATCTACTGGGTAGAGGCCAGGGATAATTCTAAACATCCTACAATTACAGGACAGCCACCCACAACGAAGGATTATTCAAACAAAAAGTTAAGTGCCAAGGTTGAGAAACCCTGGTTTAGATGTTTGACCTACATTTGACAGCTGAGTTTAATCTTTAGATATTCTGTGCACCTTTTGGCCTATGTAATTGTTTGTGGAACTCTGAATGCTAGGTCTGAAAGGGCTCTGCCCAAACTCTAAACAGAGACAGCACACCCTGCCAGGACTGTCTTATCCTATGGCTTTCCCTCCAGGGACTGGCTCCAAATTAAGTTGTCTAAAGTAAAGAACCATATTCCTTGCTTATCATGGAGAGAACATTGTTTATATAAACTCCAAATGTTTAAAACAAGTGTCCTTATTGTAATCTTAAGAATTTTTAAAATCATAATTTAGATACCACTTTTACACTTGCATTCTCATTGCTTTCTCTTACCTACCCAGCCACAGCCATTTCGACAAATTCCCCATTGTTCTCTTCTCACCCTAATAAAACTTCTGAAACCAAGATAATGCAAAGCTCCATCTTCTGGAATTGTTGGGTGGGGGGCAGGCAGAGGCAAAGTTTTAAAAGCAAGAACAAAATCTAGCTACACAAAAAAATCAATACAATGGAAGGCAGGATGGGACTGAGGCATCTGAAACTGGCCAAGTCTTACAATGCGGGGCTAGTTAGTGACCCTGGCTTCTGACCCTAATCCTTCAGGCCACTCTCCTACATAAAACAATTCAGGTAACTGAAGCACCAGAAAAGGATACACAAGAGAAATGGAATACCAGAAAGAACAGAATTCACTGTCCCGGGGCCCATTCGTCACTGATACACTCCCTGCTTATATCTATTCTATTTGAACCCTTCAAAATGTACTTTCTCTATGGGGCCTTGCTCTAAAAGTGTAACTTTCCCCAACTGTACAGGACCTCGAGCCAGCTTCTAATATAGGCCCCTCTTCATGTCACATGCCTTGACTATGTCACAGAGTTCTTCTCACAGGGGCAGGCAATGAGGCTTTGTTCTCTCCATTGAGGCTCTCCAGTGTGGATCCGTGATTCATTTTCTGTTAGGCCCACAGAAAACCTAATTAGAAATACCCATTTTGAAACGGCCTGAGCAGTCACACTGATCTTGTTCAGTAACCGTATCGAGGTATGGGTCTGAACTGAAAACATTTGTCCCATTCTGCCGACAAACATTAGGTCAAAGACGAGACTGGGGACTCTTGTCCTTACACGTTTTTGTTTCCCTAATGGGCTTTAGGATCACATTCCTTAAATCACAGCCAAGAGTATATTCTGGGCTGCAACTATTTTGAAGACATAATGTGGCAGCAGTATTCTGTGTACTAACAAGAGGTTTGGAGCTGCAGCCAAGAACAGTAATAGAATCTTCTTCCCCCCTAAGTGCCATTCTCATTACCATTCTCAAAAAAAAAATCTCTCTCTCTCTCTCTCTCTCTCTCTCTGTCCGTTCCTCCTTCCTTTCTTCCCTCCCTCTCTCCCTCTCTCTCTTTCTGTGTGGGACTCAGATTCCCCTGCTATTATTTTTACGTCGAAGGTCCCTGTCAAGGCAAAGTCTATATAATGAACAAAATATCTTAAACTATGACCCTATCTAGCTTTGCTCCCTGCTGGGGACACATCACAATCAACAAATAGCCAGCCCTGGCATGGTTCCAGTCTACTCTCTGGGGTGTGACCGGCTGGGATGGAATCCCAGATCTGCTCTGCCTTAGCTGCAGGACTGTGAGCCAATCCTCTTAACCTCACTAAAGCCAGGAAGCCTTTTATGTAAAATGGGGCTCTTATGGGTACCCACCTGATGGGTTTGTCATTGGGACAAATAATCACTTATAGTCTATAACTGGGAAGACCTAGAAAGTAAATTTTTTAAAGATATTTTAAGAGAACGGTTTTCACTGAAAATAGTACAGAACTCTTATAAATTCAACTTATTAGTAATATACTGATCTTCTTAAGATATAGATTCACTGTTAATAATAATAAACTGTACAGAAAAAGACTCTTTCATATAAAACATCTGCTAAATCAATACTAAATAATCACAAAGACTCTGAAAGGAAAGGTTACCAGTGATGCATTACTCAGGTCTAAAAACTAATGTTCTTTGTACCAGTTTTTGAAATATACTCTCAATTATTTTCACTTTTTAAAGAGGATATACTCCCTCGATGGAAAATTCAAAGAACCTGAATAACACCCCAGCGTTTTGTCTAGCTTATAACACACCACATGCACTGATTTTATGTTTGTATCCTTACGTTACATTTACCCAGGAGAAATACTACTCTCCTTTTGGGTCACCTACTTCCATTTTCATGTCGTAGTTCTGGCCGAGGACGCTCTGGAAGAGCTCTTTGGTGCTCTGGTCGGAGGCCAGCTGGGCCTCGGACTGAAACGAGGCGATGATCTCGATGGATGACGGGATCGCTCGCACGGGCTGCGGGGCCTGCGGGGCGGCCTCCCGCGCGTCACTCGGCGAATTGCTCTCGCGGTCGGTTTTGGAAACCGACACCGGGTCTTCCCGCGACTCGCCGCGCGAGCCCTCGCGCAGGAAGCGTGTGTGAATCCTCACTTTCCTCCGCCGGCCGGCCGCCTCCGAGTCTCCCTCTTCTCCGGACAGGGAGCCGCCCTTCCTCTCTCTGGCCTTGCGGGCCTCCGCGAGCCGAGCCGGCTCCTGGCTCGCGTCGCG